CTCATCTAAGACTTGTAAGTATGTGAAGGAGGAGAAGCTGGAGAGCTGTGATAGCTGAATATTTTCGCTACGGGACAATAGCGATTTTGTCTCGGAGTCAACCCGTAGGAAACAATGACACCTTTTCAAACAAAAAAATACATATAGCTGCGATCACCCAAAGCATATGGTTGGTCTTGCGGCGCTGATTTTTTTGATGGAGGGTGGAGACGTCAAAAAAAGCATTTACATATAACTTCCTCTCTGCTTCCCTGCCGCGTACTTTCATGAGGAGAAAATGGCACCCCTCCACAGCTTCGCACCTGTCACCTCGCATATGGAAAGGATCAGCCTTGCATAAAAGCGTGCAAAGTGTATTTAGATTGAAGAATGTTTGTCGTAGCGAAATTCAAGTGCGGAGATTTTGGGTTGGCGGGAAAAGCTCTATCATATTTTTTTCATATTAGGCTTTCTTCTTATAAAAACAATGCAGGCCGGCGCGACGCGAAGTTGGAAACCTATTCGATTTTGACTTGAGCTGGGGTCGTGAAGCTTTTCTTCGCCCATATAACGGGTAATTACGGAAGGCACTAGCGGTCAGAAGGAGCAATGTCTGGGCTACACCGGTGCGAGTGGAGAGCCATCCAGTTCTCTTGCATGAGCTTCGGCTCGAACTTTTTTGGACAGAGTGGTCTGCACTATCACGTTGAAAACTGACTGTGCGGACAAATTTTTCCCTCTGATCGACGATTCGCTTCAGATCTCGTAGCTGCTTTGCGTACGGATTGACCGAGGAAGCAGCTTCTTCATCCAGCAGTTTCACGACCCGCAGCTCCCTCAAGCTGAGTTCACAGGTAACCCAAACCTCACTTCGTCATCAAAACTGTAGGCTCCCGCTTTGAAGCATTAGCGTCGTGGAAGGTTGTCCGATAATTGAGGGCATCGTCCTTATTCAGCTCCATTATTTTGGCATCGGCAGCTGTCATGCTGGCGCAGGGTGGTAGAAGAAAGAGTTTGAGGAAGCGCTTGGAGGGTCGGTGCCGATGGTAGCGGATACCATTCTTGTCCATATTGCAAAAGGCGGAGAAGCAGGAGTCAAGCGAGTAGTTTTAATAGAAAGACCATTCCTTGATTCACAACTGTTCACATGAACGGCCATCCCTCCTCAGGTAATGGGCAATTTTTTTTGAGTTCATAAACACATGACAGAACTTTCCCGTCAGCCTAAGACTTTAGGGTGCTAAATCCGGGAAGCCGAACTTTCCCACTATTCATGAATTGATAGGAAGCAAAGAAAGCTGTAGGGAGTAGATTGTTGAGGAAAAGAAAATAGCGAACATTCGCATAACAACAGTTGAACAGTTTGTTGGGTGTATTTGGTATTCAACATCAAGTCTCTCCATCGAATACTCCTTCACCGCCTTATCAAGCAATGGCTGAATAATAATTACACATTTTTTTTCTATTGCTGGTTCACAGCCTTCTTTCCAGTTAGAAGAATGCGAGTCAAGCGAAAATGGTAGGCAAATTTCTGACCATCAAAGCCCAAGAACTGCGTCCCGGAATGGTTTGGAAGTTTCTCATAGCAACAGTGCAGCGGTAGACGAGCCTCTATTCGAAGTCGTGAAAGAAGAGCCATTAGAGGAAGGAGAGATTTCTGAGGGGCAAACAGGAGCACCCGAAGAGGTGAGCTAGTCTTGTTCGAATTATGCCTCAAAATGATCCACGAGTCACTGGCTAGACTGTTTTTACTGTATAGGGACATGGAATGTTTGAAATGCTTTGATTCATTGTCACTAACCTTCTGTGTAGTGTTGTGATGAAATTTTGCATTCCGCAGTTTTGCTCCATCATTTTCATGGACTCAAGTAATGTTGCAGTCATCTCCGTCTCTACACAAAAAATCGCTCCTGCTCGCATCACATGGTTCTTGCAACAAAACTAAACTGTTCAAGAAGCCTGTGTTGGTGAACCTCGCCTACAGATCAACATCTGAAGCATCTTCCAAAAAAGGACAAACAAGGGCGTTTTTGAAGGTAAATATTTTTTTATTGGAAGTCGTATCGTCCATTTGAAGATGCACTTCGCGTTCACCATATAGGGGGTCTTTTTCCTGTAGTGTAAGTGGCTTAGATGTCCGCGATGGGGTCAAGTGACTGACGTGCTGAGAACTTCAATGCAAAAGACTTTATTTGAGGCGTTTTCAGATCATTGTCTACTTTTTTGGCACTGATATGTCGGCGTATACAAATTCTATTCTGACACCAGTACCCAAAGATTTGCAATCGCGAACTGTGTCTTTCAGCTATGAAGAACTCATCTTCTTTTCTCATCGTGTCATTTTCAGTTACCAATGAAGTCGAGCCATAAAAGTAAAAGCAGGACGGATTACTGTGACAAATCAGCCGCTCCTTCCAAAAAGAGACGATTGGATGATGACAACGATCACGAGAGGAGAACGAGAACCACGGGGAAACCAGTGATTGTCCCAGGAGAGGCTTCCTCATCTACTGCTGCTGCGAAGAATGAGCCACTCGAAGAGGGAGAGATCAAGGAGAATATACAGGTGCAGTTGCTTGACGTCACAAATTATGTCCAGCCAGTGCAGCTGCCGCGCAGAGCTGAGTGCTAATGCGGTGAGCCTTGCAGAAATGGTTACTGAAAAGGTAACTGAACCGTGAATAATTGACCCCCTTCCGACCTTAAAGGCAAATTCCGCTGTCATTCCTCATCACAGATAGTGGATTAGGGGTTTGCATATAGGCGACGAGGTTCTAAGTAACTAAATAGTGAAGAAAATGCAGAAAAACATGCCAACTGCCCTGGATAGAACCCCATTCCGATCCCAGTTACGTACATGCCCACTTAACTCCATCTCCAACACTACACCCTCATCCAAGCAGCTGATTCCCCGATAAGAACTCTACGACCGTATAAGTGACGATTTTCATGCTTTTTCGTGCTGCCGAATCGTTTTTCTCTGACTGAAAGGTGGGCTTTGGAGGCGGAGTCTGGAGGCGGAGTCACTGGAAAAGGAGGCGTCACTGAACCTATATTGCGCTATAGCGCCCCTCCCTTACAATTTTTTGCCGCGAAACCGGTACAAGGTGTTTGCGCGGGTCACACTATCCTCCCGACGCCATATTTTCAACTTCTTGTTCGCTGACCGTGCCTTTAAAGACACAACGTACACTCAGCTGTCCTTGGTATGTGTGGAGATAACGAACCCCCAGCTGTCGAAGCGTAGCGGTTTCCCCGTCCGAACATGCGCGGGGATGGGATCCAGGACCGTGGGATAGGCTAATTCCTCCATGCTCCGCCCAACTTGCGGCGCAGACTCCCGATCATGTTTATACTGACCGCCGCGCGGCGCGTATGGCGCGCAGCGCTCCTGGCACTTTGCCTATTCTTGTAATCACGCTTTCGAATACAATTAAAACGCAAACTCCTGATGATGATGTACTCCCTGATGTGAATTTTTGTAATTTGGTGCGATTCCCGGCTCCAAACTGATGAAAAGACATTGAATTAACGAGTAGGACGCTTAGGCCGTTTTCATTTTCATGTTTCGTGGGAATGCGCGGCTTTCGAGGGAGATTGCAGAAGCAGCACAGTTGCTCTTGAGTTCTGGCCCTCGTCATCATCTTCGATTCGGATTTGCAGCATGAGCAACACCTCAAATGTTATCCGCATCAGGAAGTTTGCGTTCTAATTGTATTCGAAAGCGCAATCACAAGACTTGGCAAAGTGCCAGGAGCGCAGGTCAGTATAAACGGCATCGGGAGTCTGCGGCCCAATTTGTCGGAGCATGGAGGAATTAGCCCATTCCGCGGTCCTAGATCCCCATCCTCGCACATGTTCGGACGTTCGGACGGGGAAAACGCTACGCTTTCGACAGCTGGGAGCTCGTTATCCCCGAACATGCCAAGAAAGCTGAGCGCACACTGTGTCTTCAAGGCTGCTATGGTATCAGACTGGCCGACAGTGCTATCCGATTTCGACATTTTCATGTAATTGAGTCTTCTCTTTTCTGAAAAACATCCAGACAACAGTAAGGTTATTAGGTTCCACTTATATGTGGCCCAGGTCTTGATTGAATGGATTCCATGAAGGTCGGTGTCTTAAGCCTTAAACCGACGAGAACATGTGCGCTTCGTACCCGGGGCATACCAAATTGTTGGGTATTCCCCAACGAGGGGGTCGTATTCGACAGCTTATACTCGCGCAACCCTCAATTGCAGCACGTGAGTCGAAAATTCCAAATTCCCACAACGGGCGCAGATAAGTGAAACTTCGGCTATGGACAGGCGTGTGGCTGGCTGGCCCCGAGACAGTGCAGGCAGTGTATGGAGACGGTATTGAGCACCACTACCTACAGTCCCGCTGGGTGGCGACTTAGCTGGAGAGCTTAAAAGGTAAATTACTGTATTGCACCACAGCGCATATTCGAGGCCACTTGCGGCATGACCTCGCTTATTTCTGGCGCTGATGCTGACTTATGGTACTAAACGTAGCGGAATGAATCGATTGTTTATTCACAGGTTTAGTGGTTAGGAAGAAATTTTCTTGACAAGTGATATAGATAAACGAAAAGAAATAAGAATGCACTCCTTAAGTTCGAACATATATAGTTTTTTACTATGCAGTTTTTTGATTAATTATTATTGATTAATTATATGGTGTTCTTACGTAGAGGGACGTGGGCTTCGCTAAAGAAAAATGGGCGACAAAGGTGAGGCACATGTGGGGGTTCGGTAGACCCTCCTTTTTTACTGGTTTGACGTTACATACTTCCTGAAATTAGATATAAACAATTAGATATAAAAAATAGATATAAACAGTCCTACCTAAGTTGAGTTGATGTGCAAGCGTTTGTAATCAAAAACAGGATGAGTAGCATAAACACAGCATAAATGCGAGTTAAATGAGACTATGACTAAAACGAAAGAACAAAAAGCGGCATAACAGAAAAAAAAAAAAAAGAAATGCGCTAAAAATGCATTAACCCGAGATGTGGAGTACGGTAGCAGAAATGCGTATGTAATTGCGCGTGACGGAGATTATTCGTCAATTTTAGCACTGGAGCGCGAACTTTCAGCAAACTGGGGTGTCTTTGACAGTGACTTTCAGTGACACCGCTAACTTTGGACGCACGCCCCGCCCACTGTTGGGCGGGGCTTACCATGGGTCTGCGGTGCTATTGGGGAGTTCGTCATGACTATTCCATCTCACCTTGACCGACCCGCACCAGGCTTTTTCAGGTGCGGGTGAATTTCGGGACAGACAGACAGCACAACGGACATAGCAGATTATAGTAGGATATTTCAGTTATTTCGGATTAATTGAGTTGAAAGTTTTCTACTATTTCTTTTACATATCCGAGTTCTCTACAAAGCGAGTTCCGCTACTCTGGACTCAGCACACTGAGACCTTTGCGCTGCTCGATACTGGCTACCGCCCTCATTACGACCCCCCATTCCTGTGCAATACGACCCACCTTCATGGGAATTCTCAACAATGATGTTGACCTGTTCCGAGAAGGAGATGGGTGTTGTGATTGAATGCACGGTCCCGTTTAGTAGAAATCGTGGTAGGCTGATTGACCAGAAGTATTTCTGCGAGAAATAGCTGAAATGGGTGTAGATGGCAGGAAATATAGAGGATGATAGGTTGGGCGGACTGTTGTGAAGGATATGTTGTAAGAATAATTTTTTTTTTTTTATTTTTTTTTTTTTCATCGCGCCAAGTACAATAACGTGTGAAGCTATCGTGTAGACGTGATTGAGACACGCGATAGTGGTAAGCAGCAGAGCATGTAGAGAATGGTGTCGAAGTAGCACCTGTGGGAGCTGAGTTTGGAAAATTATGAACAAGCGCGGTGTGTAGGCACCTGAAAGCATGCTCGTGACGACAAACACTGGCGAGGTGTGTTATGACGAGGTGCTCATCGAGCTATACAAACGTATTTTTAGGTGACCTTAAATAAGGTAGAAAGAATTAATGTAAGAATTAATTTGCCTTTAAAGGTCATTCGATGTATATGAACACCTAAAAACAGAAACATTTAAAAATTTCAACACGTTTTTTCGATGCGACATTAAATCGTCAACCGGCAATATTCATAGAATTACGAAATTACTGATTTTAACTTATCAAATCCGATTATCAAACGGATTCGAATCGATTCATCTCGTTACGTTGAGTAGCCAGTGAGAGGTCAACAGTCAGCGCTGCAATTAAGCGCGGTCATGCCGCAGGCGGGCCTCGGGATATGCGCTGGGTGGTGGCATACAGTATCTTACCGTATGCTACTCAGCTAGAAGGTGTCACGCGTACCCGTCTTCCACGTTGGCCGCTGGCGGAGAAAGTATGTGATCGGCTACTGCAGCGGCGAGACTATCCTGCGCCATCGGTCAAGAACTCGTCCTCGGATGTGGGATTTACAGTTCTGTTCTTAATATCTTAGCTCTGAATATGTGAAAGGCGGATTATTACTCTAGAATTTACTCTGATGAAGGAATGTTCGTGTACTGTTTCTGTTTTATTCGAAAAATCCTGATACCGAACCACATAGTGTGAGCTTTGTAGAGATCTAGGGGTTTTCTCGCCACTGTGTGATGTGATGTTTTCTTGATGTGAACTCACAAGGGAACCCCAACAAGTAGATCCGGCCATTTGCAATGAGTGTATTTATATGACGTGTCTTGAGCAGCTGTATCCAAATCTGCCCTCGGAATTCGCGTAACAATTCTCTGAAGGGAGTTATGGACCATTTAATCTCTGCTCTGTCGCACAAGTTGAGAACGATAACTGCGTGCTCCAAGCGGCCGATGACGTAGTGGATAAGCGCACTGCTTAAGAGACACAAGGTCGCATGTTGGATTCCTTGACTCTCAAAAATTTTTACTTTTATTTAGAACACTTCATATGAGTCCCTAAAACACTTCTGTTTGGCCAATTTACCTAGTTCTTTAATTATTTGACATCAGGAACAAGCAACTCGCCTTTTCTTTTCCTTTTCAGAAGTATTTAGTATTGAGATATTCGCTTATTAATGCTGGCAGTAAAATGGAGTATTATGGTTTGGGAAATGTGGTACTCCACGAAGTGGTGGAAACAAAATAATGCTCACAATGAGCAGAGCGCATACGAAAGTGCGGCACTATTCAACTATTACTACCCCAATTTCCCGGGAACAGGCCGATTTCAGGAAAAAGTTTTGACTATTGGGGTAGTAATAGTTGAAAGGACCTGCCAGAAAGTAATCCTAACACGGTGCAGTTTTACAGTTCTCCACCAGTTCAGGGGGGAGCGATGATGAATTTTTTCAAAATTATGAACAAAATCCTGTCTACGTGTTCTATGCAGTATTACCCGATATGGTCAGCACTCTTATGATCTACCAACACGAGGCATTCCGCACGAAAAACAGCCAGTTGTTGCTTCCTTGTCCTGCCGTAATGCTATGCCCGAAGCTGGCGTATCCGTTGAGGGAACAGGAAATAGAGAATTTTCAACAGCGTTTTTTTAGGGATATAATATGAAGTGTGTTGAACTGTGAAGCAAAAGTTTCCGAAAGGAAATCCAACATGCGACCCTGTGTCTCTGAAGCAGTGCGCCTATCCACTACGC